TTTTTTCAAATCAAAATAGTGCAAAAGCACATGTCGAAAAAACACTTTATCGCGTTCCATTTTTCACAAAGCAAAAGAAATTGTTGTTTAGGAAAATAATTGTGTATGCTGACTGAATGTTATCGAGAAATGTCGAAATTAATCACAAACTACCTGTTTCGTTAGTAATGACTACTAGAACTGTTTGCATTGCCATCTAACATTTGCGGGCGGAAACTAAGTTAAGGTCCTAATATATAAATTCACATCTATAGATGTAATTCTGATTCTTCGATTGAAATCTATCACGAGAATTCTGTTGCGAGTTGCAGATCGAGATTCGAAACGCGAGCAATCACATCTGCGCAAATCGTCGTCATATATGCCGACGATTTAAAGTATCAGTTTCGAAGTAGGTCGCCGAGTCATACCTCGCGGGAAACGTCAAACTGGCTCACCCACGCGACAGGTGTGATATCAAGCGTTGCCTTTTCGCCTCGAGTCTCCTTCGGACGTAAAACGAACTCGCTTGATCGCGCAACGCGACTCGACTGCAAGATGAGACTATCTTTAGAGAAAAGATAACTATAGAAAAAAGAAAACAAAGTAGGGTGTGATTTTGTTTGATAATCCTAAATAAACGAAGATAACGCCTAAAGAGGGAGAAAGAGTAAAAGAGAGAGGGAAGGAGAAGTAGAAGACAGCAAACACAGTTAGCAAATTTGACCTTCGAATTTTTAAGCGACGTTTTAATCTTCTCCTGGAAGAGTCGTATAGAATGAACTAACTGTGTCTATTTTTCTATTATTTATTTATTTATTTATTTATTTATGGAGACAATATCCTCTTATATACCTAGTAAAGACGGAATAAATATCTATAAAATTTTACATATATCACACAAATAAGTTGCCAATTATAATTAAAGATTATCACTTTATAAATTTCTTGGAATGGAATCTTAATTACAAAACGAGTGAAAAATAACAACATTTTTACTTGTGATAATGAAAATATTACTATTCGAAATCACAAAATAAACGTTTCACTTAAATCAACTTCGGACTTTATACGGAGCGAATAGTTCAGTTAGAGTGAATTTGTACCTGTGATTATACATCAGATTAAAATACATCAGATTCACTCTTCAATTTCAAATGAAAATGTTTGCTCCATAATTCGCAAGTCGAGAATTCACATTATATAAGTAAAAAATTATTTATTTCTCTATCTATATTGTTTATTTCTTTCATTTACTATATCTTCTTTTTCTATATATATTTTTTTATTATAATTATATATATAAGAAAAGTTAATTATATATATATATATATATATATATATATATATATATAAGAAAAATATTATTTATTTTATATTTATTATTTATATTATTAAATTATTTATATTATTTATATTTTTTATTATTTATTGTATATTTACTAGTTCCTTTTTGTATATATACAGAAAAAAGAACATTTTGTTTTGAAAATATCTTTATTTTTTATATGTAAATCTTAAAATAAGATTACATAAATGATGATAAGTGCTTGCATTGATTTTTTATGTGATTCAACAAAAAATATTATTCAAAAATAATTTTTATGAATGGAAAACACAAAATATTGGAAATAGAATATATTTTTAAATGTCGGAAGAAGATATCATTATCATCAAAATTAATATATTGTACTTGTTAAGAGATTATTGTAATATTTAAATAAAATTCTAACGTTAAGTTAAAATTCAAGATTAAAATTCTTTTAACATAATTATGTATCGTTGCTTTTATATATATATATATATATATATATGAAACAATGATTGTTAATATGAATATATCAGTTTTAAGTGAATACTAATTCTTTCCCTGTATATGTATTAAAAATTGTTTGTTCTCCTTTATTCTCTCGTCTATTTATCTGCAATATTATTCTATTATGTGGTAAGGGATTTTCCCGGTGTAACAAAGATTATTATTAGAATTATTATTATTTTAAAAACCACACGAATTGGTTGATCCACTTTTCGAGCAAAGTTTCACTCAAAGAAATTTCGAAGACAGAATTAAACGCTTCGAAGGGGGGATATATCAGTTGATTAACAATTGACGAGTCGCATGGGAATTTATCTTCAAAATTGCACAGCTCGCGAATATTCGTCGGCGTACAGCTATCCGACAGAAAAAGAGATAGAAAGAGAAAAAAAGAGAGAGGGGAAGAAAGAGAGGCGTTCACCGCTCGGATTTCGACGACGTACAGCGAAGTCTGAGTCACGCGCGCGCGTGAGATTCTTACCTGTTGGAGGCTCCCGCTTACTATTCCTCCCGCGCGTGTCGAGCGACGGCGACGACGATGGAAAGAGAAGAAAACAAAAAGGAGAAGAGGTGGGATAAAAAGGAGAAGAAAAGAAGAACCCAAGGTCCCGCGTATGACTACGCGTCGCCAAGGCTAGGGACGGGGGGACGAGGGGGGGCAGGCGTCGTCGCGTTACAGTTCCTGCACCGTTTCTGCACCGCACTTCACCGACCAGACTACCAAAGGGAAAGCGATCCTTTCCTGCTGAATATGTGGTAACGGCAATATTCAAAAATACTACACACTCCGGGGTGCTGACACTTCGCGTGCAAGGAGACCTCCAATGACCGCCGCGAGAACGGTTGAGCTGGCTGTTTCCCGTCCAGGTCACTTTCGGCGGAATAATCGGCCACGGTTCCACGCGGCCGCTCCGTTCCGCGTCCTGGAGCTTCCTCCGACTGCGCGGGACGCAACGTTGGGCACGACGGGGTGCACACCGAGATCCCGAGGCGGCAGGAACGAAGGAGAGAACACCAGCCGCGGACAGGTACGCGGGCGGACAGACGAAGCGGGCAGGAAGCGGTGCTGCTGCTCCTGCGAGACGCGGTGCTCTCCCGTCTTCGCGGCGGACCACGGCGACGGACCGCACTGCATTGCTCGGCTGTGCTCCATCCCGGCCGCACCTGCGGTCCCGCTCCCTCCTGGGACCCCTGCGGGCCCCAGAGGCGTGTTGGGCTCCCCTCCGATCGCCCTCGTTTCCTACGCTTGCGATCGCGCTTTCTCTCTTCCGATCCTTCCTTCCTTCCTCCTCGGTCTTGCAGTCGTTCGTTCGAACAAGCGCTATTATTAATTAATGACCAGATAAACATGTTCGTCATACGATGAGGATGACGAGCAATGTCGGCCGTATGGAATATTTAATTAACTGTACTTGTGCAAGAAGGATCACATGGAGTAAGTTTCTGGAGGAATGAAGATAAATTGACACATGACTCAAAAAGTATAGATAGCACTGAGCTTCTTCGCAATCGTTCAAGAAGTTCAAGTACGGTCAATTTTCTTCTCTTTAAGGATACTCACAGACAAGTTTAACCCTTGAGAAAATGAGTAAAAAAGACACTAGTAGGAAATTAAAACTGCTTTTTTTAATCAATCTTAGATGCCCGTATGGCTTGAATCTTTTTTGCTTTATGTAGAAAGACGTATGGTATTGGTAAAAAAGAAAAAATATAAAATCATTAATTATAGGAAACGCGCAGCTAGAAACGGATTGAAAGCTGGTTGAAAATGTTAAGTAACTGTCGATTTCTGTCGAACTCTAAGAAGTATATACAGCATCAGCGGCGCCGATATTGCTTCTGTAATGATGGGAGGGATTCTTTCTTTACGGTGCCTCCCCCTCTGTTTTATTTTAATACCTCGATCTGTATTCCGCGGCGCGGCTCGAGTCTCGATTGTTATTTTGATTTCGTGTCGCACTTCCGGGCGCGAGCGCGATACAAGCGGAATATTGTGGCGATCATAAGTTCGCGAAGCATGAGATTTGGTTCCCTCACGGTGGTAATTTGAGTGAAATTTACGAATATTGCTAATATTACCGTATATTATATATCTTTTTATCTATATTTTTTTTGTATTATCGCTGAAGAAGGCCAGCGAGTGATCGAAACATTTGATAGCTCAATGGATATGACAATGCTTATGTTAAATAAAATAATTTTGTAAAACTATTGGCATAGTTTCTATACGCCCCAAAAATATAATCTCATCTTTAGCAGAATCCTGTTATTATTTGGCTAGAAGAGGATTCTTCTAAAACCAAATATCTAAAAGAAAAGAACTTTATTTACAAGATGCTGTTTCTTTCTGTAATTTCATATTCTAAGCGAAAACTTCTATAAAAATAGTATTCCTCTTCTAATGAAGTAAACTATTAATCGGAAACTTATGAGACATTCTAACTTTTTGCCTTTTGAATAAAAAAAATATGCTTGCTTGAAGCAAAATACTCTCTTACATGTGATACGCAAAATGCGACAAGCATTTTTGTACTAGAAGACGAAATCTTCTAACTTTAAAAATGTTATGTTTAGAATATTTTGCTCTTGGTTTTAAAGAAATATTTTCGTATATATAAGAAGATTCTGCTAAAAATGAGATTATATATTTTGAGTGTAGAGGCGGATGCATTTATATTGTGTTCCTTACACTGAGAGAAAAAATATTTAAAAGATAAAAAATATTTTTTTCTATTAGTACTGATAACATATATTTACTTACACTAATATACACATTTTTGCGACATAACTGTTTTCAAATGAGAAAATATATTTATTTATTTATTTGTAAATAGGTTAATCTTTTTGACAATAGAAAAAAATATAATACATAACACACACACACGTGTATATGTATACAAAGAATATAATACATAAAGACAAAATCACACGTAAACATAAAAAGAAAAGAAAAATTTATACACACGTATACATATCACATGATTTCGCACATTATACCAATTATACAAATAAATTATATTCCTTTTTCAACTCTCTCCTTCAACATTCAATACATTCTCTTAAAATTGTAGTCTTTCATGAAAAAGCCTATTTAATTTAATTAGAAACTTTAAGTTAATGTTATTAATATCCTGTTAATAAGTATCTTTTTTAGATATTTTTTCTCTCAGTGCTAGGTGTTTTCACCGTTTCAGAGGAGTGTTCAGGAAGGGGATGAATTTTTACGGATGAATTGCGGAAATAAATGGCGAACTGTTTGTGTGTGAGATATGCATCGGGAAGTATATTGAATGCTCGTTAAACACTCGTTCGTGGCGCTGAAGTTTAACGGTTACTTGTAATAATTAAACACATGTATGCATGTACCGTATCTTCGTTACTACCTTCGTAGAACCTACGGAGAATCGGACGTATTAGATGAAAAATGGAAGTCCACTCAAGGAAGAGGGGAGACAGTACAATTGTCTTGATTTTTGCGCGGACGAGTGAGCCTCATTAAGCTCGTATCAGACTGAATATTGAAAGTTTTACTTCAAGAAATTTAGAGAGCAAAATTAAACGTCTCAAAAGAGGATTTATCAGTCGATTAACAATTAGCGAATCAAAATTGGAAATGCACTGAGAAAAAAAGTGTTTGGTGTTTGCGACTATAATCGCATAGTTAAAAGTGTTATAGTCAAAAAAATCATTTTTTTAATAAATTTCACTACAGTGTTAATAACAATACATTTAAATACATACATTGAGAAAAACATACATTGAAAAAAAAACATTTATTAGATGAGTTAATTTATTTACTATTAATATATTTACTTAAATAAAAATTCTTTCTATTTAAACTTTCTTTTTTTTATAATACCGAGTATTGTTTATTCGGTTTAAATAAATATATTAATAGTACCCATCCAAAATAAATATATATATATTTGTTAATTTTTTAATATTTTTTTCTCAATGTATTGTTACTAATATTTTTTTGTTAGAACAATTTCATTAATTATTGATAATAATTTTTTTAATAAGACAAACATGTAATAATAAAATAAATAATATAATAATAAAGTGAAATAATGTAATAATAAAAAATTAATAATGGTGTCTTGTTAGAACAAGGAGAACATATTGTTGGCATCGAAAGTGATGATAATTTTCGTGAGAACTAATTTTTGCTCTCAGCTCTTTTGATGAATTGATTAAAGGCAACAAGGCAAGTCAAGATCGGCATTTGTCGATCTGTTCGAATTCTGATTTACAATCTGTGATTCTCAATCTTCAATAATCGGTATGATGCGGGCTTTGTAGTTCACACGTCGTGGTCGGAAGCTCACATTTTATCCCTCGTACAATACAAACATCCTCGTACAATACAAACATTCTTGTACAATACATAAATTTACACTTATAGACTTATCTAATATCTCCTGTTGAACAGCAGACGAGATTCGAATGTGTGCACAGATGCTCGTTAATGCAAACAGACACAAAAACGAAGGGACGCCATTTCGTGAAATATAACATCGATGGAGAATATCTCGATCGCGAAAAAATCGATAAGACAACTCATAGGAATACGTGCGCGTGCGGACATATTAATGTATGTGTGTGTGTGTCTATATGCGTGCGCGTGCGCGTGCATGTATGTATACGAACATTAATACAAAATCGAAAGTATACCGTGTACGATTTCGAGCTGTGAAATATACGTATTGCTGTTACACGCTGTTTCACATTGTTTACACTTTATCGACAACGATTGTGCCCCGCGTTACAAATTCGACTGTAACATACATCTCTCGATGGCCTTAAATACTCCACTAAATTTATCCTTCTTCACTTGATGTAAAAACGCCGGGGATATCCGGATTCAACGATCACATTCAGATGCAATCAATCAATCAGTCGATTGATAAAATTTTTATGGAAAGACATTCGGTCGGCTCGACGTTGCTCGGTTATCCTCTCGTTCTCTTCTCGTGAGCCCGAAGGTTCAGTAAGAATGTGGTCGATCGAAATCGTGTTCGCTTAAGGGTTTTCCGACAAAGAAATCCCCTGTACAATTACAATAGAGTGCACGGCGTCGCGGACACGAAGGTTGGCGCATTCTTTCTTTCTACAAGTTTCGGAACACATCCGATAATATGTAAAAGAGAACTTTTGATCTTTTCCGAAGAATATTTCTAAAACAAAATTTGCCATTGGCCCAGATAGCATAAAATATTTTATGAGTATATTTAAGGAATGTTCCCCAACAAACACACAATTCAGACAGCATAACATCTCCAGATACGTTCTCAGAACGTCTTTCGGATGTCCTGTGGAGATTTGTACTGTTCGAGAATTATATATTTATATACTTCAAGTAACATCAAGTAATTGTTGTAGACGTAATGTTTGCTGGGTTATTAATCCTGGAATATTCGGATGTGATATTCTATAAATATTTTTTATAGGCAGTGATTCGTATATTTATAATAGAATTCGTATATTTATAATAGAAAAGAATGTTCTTAGAATTCGTAAAGTTCACTTACTGCGCATGTGCAATATATTCATGTAACTGTAAAGTTTTCAAAATGTTTTAAATAGTAATATCTATTTATTACAATTTAAAAATATATATATATATATATATATATATATATATATATATATACACGAGATAAGATACTTAAATTATTCTTCTTTATAATTGTAAAAGCAGAATTAATGATTAACCTACATTATGTAAGTATTCTATGCACATTTATAATTCACATGTATAGTTCTACGAATATATACATGAACGTGTTATAAACATATAACCGTATTTTTAATACATTCATAGAATAATATAAATATTCTATGATATCTGGGGGATGTTGACTGCGCGTTGAAGAAAAGAAACAAGCCCCTAAAAAATTTAATTTTATTCGTAGCGAAATCTTCTTATATGTGATCTCGAGAGGATTTTTTTTTTAATTAGAAAGGAAATATTTTAAACACCAAATAAGGAACTCTAGTTGCAAGGTGCTATTTCCTATAATTTCACCTTTTTATCAATTAGAATAAACCTTTTGTTTTTATTTTTAAAAAATCTCATATTCTAAGCAAAAACTTTTATCAAAAAAGTATCTTTCTTTTAATGAAGTAAATCATTAATCGGGGATTTACCAGATATTATTCTAACTTTTTGTCTTTTGAATTAAGAGAAAAATGTTTACTCTTGAAGCAGAATGCTAGAAGGAATTTCTATGACACACTAAATAAAAGACAAAATACTTTAAATAAAAGACAAAATTCTCCAAACTTTAAGAATATGGTGCTTAGAACATTTTCCTTTTGGTTTTAGAAAGAACTTCTTGAGGCCATATGTAAAAAGATTTCACTAAAGATAAAATTATATTATGAAACCTTTTCACGTCCACGACTGTACACATCGTCAAGAATGCTAAATCGAGTGTATAGATCAACGTCTAAAAATATCGACTTTACAATTTGTTTCGCAAATTGTAAAAACTTTATATCGTTGCATAATTTTGATCAGCGTTTCGTGTTCGTCATTGCCGACGAAACCGGAGAGAAACTATATGCAAAAAGTGCAAAAAGAGCGCGAATGGTCGTAGAATAGAATCGGCAGTAGCGCTTTTTTATCTCACACAGGAAACCCACGGAGGAAATCATTAATACGCAATCGTTAATTAATTATTAATTATTAATATACGCATATAAAAATAACATATATAAAATATAACATGTGTATATATATATATATATATATATATATATATATATATATATATATATATAATATCGTATTGTAAAGCAGACAAGTTCGATAAATTAGCATTAATCGTTTACAGACTAGACACTATGACGTTCGCGCCGTAGACTACTACAGAGTACACCGACTTGAAACATCGACGGTATCACACTCTCTAAAGTACAATCAGTGTGTCTTGATTGAAGTGCTATATATTTTCCAACAAACAGCAGACAACAATAACATTATCGTGTGATTCTCAACATCGGCAATGTTATAATTCCTCACTCGGCGATGTAAGTTACATTCAACAATGTAAGTGCGATATGTTGGGAATGGAAAATATTTCTACTTAACAGATTAGATAAGATAATTAGATAAGAAAAATCTATCCCAGATAAACGCATTCGGTATATTGCCTGCTAGTGACTAGCACAAATATATAAAGATGCATACAACAAGAATTTTGTCAGTAGATAAACGAAGTAATTTGATGGTAAAAAAATTGCAGTAATATTGCGGAAACATTTTGATTTCATGAAAACTGCTACTTGTGTAATACGAAATGCCTCAGCTAAAATAAAACGATTTTTATTTCGTTATAATTTATGAAATATATATATATATATATATATATATATATATATATATATATATATATATGTCAAAGATGGTATAAAATCAAAAGAGCATCTCGACATTATTCCATAAAATTATGACAAAAATATAAACGTTTCACATTTTACCTGAAAAATTTGAAATTACTTATTACACAACACAATACAACATTTCAATGAAATTTGTATGTATTTCTATCAATCTTATCGGATTTCTTAAGTAGGAATTATAACATTGATGCAATGTTACTTTTAGTTTATGTTTACTGAGTTGTAAATGATGGTTCAGTTCGCTGTCAGAAATAATTTGTCAAAATGACGTCATTAATATGAAAAGTTATCGATTCAAAGTTTCGGAATTTTTGAGTAATAAAAGTCAAAGTTGGATGATAGATGCCTCATAAATTCGCTGTATAACTATGAAGATCGATTGTTAAAACAATGTCGATTCTATTTCTGAAGGAAAGGCCTTAAAAATATGAAATTGTGTCAAACATATGCATATAAAATATTGAAAAATATGTCAAACTTCCATTAAACTTCTGTTACATACAATCTCTTGTTAAAATATGCTGAAATCATTTCTGACTGGGTTATAAATACAGCGCTGCAATCAATAAAATCTCTGAGAGAATTAGCTGATAGTTAATAGCAGGACAGCGGCTAACTCCATTTTTGATTCAGTTTGCACACATAGATCTAAGAAGACAACGTCTTCGCACGCACGGCGCATGGAAGCAGTTGATTCGATCGCAGATTGCAGAAAAATTGCAGACGTAGAGGATTGAATATGTTGGTGCAGCGTGTGACAAATTTGTGTCAATTTGTGTCACAAATTTTGCAATGAAATCTTATTTACGCAGAGTAAAATCAGCGAAATATAAGATGGAGCAGTAAAGTGGGAGTGTCTCCACTGAACATCAATGTATATCAGATAATTAATATTATCGGTAAAATGCTCCTTTCAGATCCTATCAGAAACATTTCGCTGATTCACTTTAAGAGAGTAGATACGCTCGACACGCTACATCGTTTTCGCGGCTATTTGTATAGAGATTTGATTTACGGGAGATATATCGAAAACACCCATCAACGTGAGATCTCTTAAGATTACACACACATAGATATTCATACGTATGCGCTCATATCATTAAACGCGCGATACACGGGTCAGCTCGAGTGAAACCGCAGTCTTGGACAAGCGAGAACCTCTCGGCAACTTAATGGTCGTTCAAGATACATCAGAAGTGTCGATATAAAGTCAGGGACAGACGCGTCGGATGAGAAACAAGCGAAACGAAAAAGATGCTCTCTGTCGTAAAAGTAATGTACTCCTAATAACTGTCACGCGTCGCGCCCGTGTTGTTCAAAATAAAATTTTCTTTTCGCTTTGTGCCGGCGCGGCGTGCTAGTTTGGTTTGTTACTTTGGCCCGAAGAGAACATAACCGCGTAGGTTACATTGCGAAGAATTAAATGCCTCTATTTTTATACAAGTCTTTAGACTGGAAAAATATATGTTTACATGTACGTATATATATACATTTCTATACACAAATATATGGAAGGGCATTTGGCAGTAATGAGAGAAATCGAATATATAATATATGTATATATAAACGTTTGTTATATGTAAATCCGCGATAACACTTTTTTTTCTCTCTCTTCTTTTTTATATCTTTGCATTTTTAACATCTAATCTCCCAAACAGCACAATGTCCAAAATTGGGATATAAGATATATTTAAGACGTCTTATGTCCCAGTTTTGGACATGGGTGCTGTCTGGACTCTTTAAGGTCGAGATTCTGCTTTAGCGTAAACTCGAGATTCTTCCTCAGCGCTGTAATATCGTTGATATCTGTATATGTGATATTGTTTCACGCGATTATACGAAAAATATGTATGAGAAGACGATTCAAAACAATATTCAGATTCGATGATTTCGCGAAATTGAAACGACAGTTTATTAGAGAGCGAAACGTAATGAAATTCGGACTCGGACTTGTATGCAGAAGTGTTCAATAATAATCATTCGCTAGTTAGCTCTTTCTCTCTCTCTTTCCATCTCTACAATTCTATAGTCAGATGATTAACACGTTTGCTACTAATGTTACATATGTGTGACAACAGAAAATGATTTTTTATGTCCATATTATCAAACTAAATCTGTTTTACATAATTATATAAAAAAATAAGAGGTAAACTGTGAAGGAGAATCTTCCAAATAAACGGTAGTAACAAACGTGTTAAAAATTACGACATATTTATCTCGCTGAGTTTTGCAACGCACATCTTGTATATTCCGTAGAAAAGTTCAGATATTTATTTAATATTTAAAAATCAAGTATATTTAAAAACCAATACAAAAAGAATGTCCAGAGTCAGGTATTAGTGCTACTAATGTTCAGGCATTGTGTTACCTTCGCCTTAAAAAGCAAATTCTTTCATTGAATACCGAAAGCGTTGCGAAATTCACCGGGAAAAAGTGTTGCGAACTTCAGTCATCCGACTGAGCTGCTGTCGAATCAGCTTGGTCGTAGTAGCCAATTTAAGAGTTGCCGTATTCACTCAAATCAGCACAGACCGTTCCGTCAATTGTCCACCTCACCCTTTCGTATCCGAGTAGCCTCGGTTTCGCGCGAGTATAATCTCTCCGCTGCCAGTATTTACATATGTCGACAAAACTTAGGTACAATTATACATTAACGATTGGCTCTAGAAATTCTTCGTGATTGTATAATTATACATGTCTGCTTAATCTCTTCGCTACGGCGAAATTCGGCCAAAAAGTGATCGTGCAGCACGGCTCAGCACGCAGCCGCGTATATGAGACTATGGGTAGTACTTACGTCACACATATCATCCAATACCTTGTATCGGCATAAGTAAAATAATTTCAACACGCAGCGATTGTTTTGGGCCACGCATAGACGACTAAAGTCGCTCTTGGGTTAGCGGAAAGGTCGATATCGGTCGTACCTTTTGTACTCTCTTGATTTTTGAAATGAATCATCGATCAAAAGAACAAATTGTTCCCGATAGTATGAAATATTTTGTGCACGTCGTTTTTACCAAAACACACGTACTTTGTAAATCCGACCACTTCGTGCAAAATTTAATCCCTTGATAAAAGGATTGAGTTTATATAAATCGATCCTTGACGTACACTTAGCTTCAAAACGGTTTAAACACTTTCTTTAGATGCAGTTTGGAACGTAGCCAATGGCCCAATAAGAGACCGTGATTTCTACGAATTAATTAAAAGCAAGTCGAGGAAAAGTATTCAAGCCGTTTCAAAAGCTCGTGTACAATCGTTTGCACACAGATCGGCATAATAACCTTAGTTATATCTTTATTATACCTTTCTAGAGCACATATATATTGCATTTTCTATGTGGGAAACTCTAGAATGGTTTAACTTTATGCGCTAAGTCTATTACGCCGAACTGTGTACAATAGTTTGTACCTTTCCCGATGGGAAATCTTAAAATTCTCGCCAGTTGATTACTCTATGCTCTGCGCGAGAACGCGATGAAAGATACACAGTCGCGAACAATAAGGTTGACTGGTTTCAACTTCGATTCAGTTTTTGAGTACGTTCTAATTGGAAGTGAAATGAGAGGGAAGCTGAATTACGTGAAGTTGAAACCAGTCAACCTTATTGTCCGCAATTGTACACTTCAATCGTCTAGCGCGATCGAATGTAACACGTCGACATGGAAACGAAACAATTCGACATCGTGTTAGCGTAACTGCGGAGACATCCGACGAGGAAGAATTTTCACGTGTTACGTTGCGCGACGGAGATACCGGCTTAAATCTTGTATCTCTCCTGCAACAGCATCTGCAGGAATATTGCGCTGATGCATAAGAAAAGGAACTGTAGCAGCCCGACGCCTACCGAGATTATGCCGATAATGGTGGTTTGCTTCAACAGTTCGACTGCCAGTTTATCTGTGCAACCCTGCAACAAGATTCTCACCTCAATATTTCATCTTAAAGCTTCACGCTTTTGTTTTATTTGACTACTTTGTCTCTTTTGTAAAACAGTAGTTACCAGCTTTTTAAATTTTTTGAACGCGAAATCTCGCTCAAAACGAGTGAAAGAGTGCGGCCTAGTTTAGCCCCATTTTTTGTAAGTTTGAAAATGGTCATAATTTTGGTTTTTTTAAAGCTTATTGTGAGTAGATTCCAAATATATAAATATCAAGGTGGCGCTCCACACCTTATAACATTACAAATTTTGGAAACAAACAAACAAACTCCTACAAAAAGTGAAATCATGCTTTTGCTAGAGTGATAATCGGATCCATCTCTTGGAAGTGAAACTCTTTTGGACCATTTTTCTCTGAAACGGTATAGACCTTGATACTTATATATTTCGAATCTACTCGCACTAAGCTTTCAAAAAATACCAAAATTATGACTATTTTCAAACTTACAAAAAATGGGGCTAAATGCCTATGGCGGTTTGGTCGCTCTCTTTGCCCGGAAAAACAGAAAAAATATCTTCACTCGTGATTGTGTATGGCTATGGGTATAAGGAGAAAATTTATATATATATATATAAATATATATATATATATATATTTTTTTTTTTTCCCTTAGACAGTGAGTTACCTCTTGGTGGATCGTGGAGCTCACGACTTCGCCGATTTTCATTTGACGAGTGTCGTTGCAGGAGTTGCGGTCTGTCATTTTGCAACATGACTCCGGTACATTAAATATGTTGGTGGCGCCGGTGGAAACGGTCAGGTTAAACGGAACAGAGGAGTCCTTGCCTGCGTACTTGCTGCCGGCCCAATCCGCGGGCCCGGTGGCACCGCAGCACTCGAGTTCGTACTGGAACGCGTCCACTATTTGCGTGCGAGATTCTATTACGCTGTATTCATTCTGCAACGGGAGAGAAAGAGAGAGATGAGACATAATCTTCTTTACATACAATTGTCTTGGTCAAATTACCATCGAATTTTCAAAAGTCCGATTTACTACGAGATATCTAACTAATTAGCGGCTAATATTCATTTATGGCACGCTTCTTCTTTAATATAAAATTATTCGATTAAAATATAATTCTACTTTTGTGTCTTCACAGAAAGGATGCATAATTCCTAATTATATTTATGCTTTCAATAAAAATAGTTATAATAGTACTTATAAAAATAGTTATAAAGTACTTATAAATTTTAATATATTTAATAAATTTTAATATCTGTACCTCTTTAATAAAAATAGTTATGAAAAATAGTCATACAGCTAATATGACGTAAACTTCGCAGAAAAGAGTCAATATTCTGCCAGGAAGGTCCTCAAATAAGCAATTAAAAAATACGCGAACACACATTTGAATAGAGCAGTAAAAAATAAATTATATAAACATTAAATTATATAAATAAAAATTATATAAACAGAAAAATTAAATTATATAAACATTAAATTATATAAACATAGAAAATATATACGTATGTACATAAATATACGTATTAAATTAAATTATATAAACATAGAAAATATATACGTATATACATAACTTTACATGTTGCCGAGTTATTAATTCCGAAACTTATAATACATCGATACAAGAAGTGACAGGTCATAAATTATGCATCGAAAACACCAGCGGCAAGAATCTTATCTATTAAGCCAAAGTAATTAATTGTCGTAGAATTCGCATTTACATAGCATTATGCGTTGTCGAGCTATTGATTCCGAAAATTAGGATCCATCGGTGCGAAACTGACGGGTCGCCAAGCCCCAGTAAACACCAACAGCAACATTACAATGTTATAATTCCTCACTTAATGATGCAAACATACAGTATATGTTATATTATTTACATTATTGCATTTACATTATTGGGTGTAAAATTGTAACATTGATTCCAAGTAGCACGTATCGTTTAGCAAAACTTCCCGAACGTTTTACAAATGGTTATGAAACGTATGTGGGACCAACATGTGCTACTAAGGATGCAATATTAGTGACAGTTAATGTTTAGTGAGAATATAAAGAATCGAAATATGAGTAACAAGAGTTTTAATTTAGGGCCGAAATACCTACTTACTATGTGGTAAGAGACTTTAAGTAGAAATTACATTGGAAATTTACATTGAAAATTATATTGGAAATTAAATTGGAAACTACATTTAATTACTTAATTGGAAACTTACCTTTATGGTGTTTATCAAGTTGACCTTCAACAGTTCCTTCAGACTATCGGTGTTAACGGTGGCCCACACCCCGAAGGAGATCTGCCAGACGACGGTAACCAGCATTATGCAGAAAGCGGTCATGATGTTGCATCGAGATTTCTTGAAGATACCGCAGCAGGCCAATATACCGACGAATGCCATGATAATCGCCAGGCCAAGTACGATATACAGACATACTTCATAGCTAAGTTGCTGCTCGGCAAACGACACCAGGAACGTTTGTTGATCGTTTAGCATCCATGTCACTAAACCTATCAACAGCCCTGCAACAGTCTGAACAATTTGATCAACGCGTTAATCGTCATTGAAAGTTAGGACTTACAACCTAGTAAATATTGACTAACAGTAACATTGTAAATATACTTTTCCACTCAACAATGTTATAATTTTCCACTCAGCAATATAACTGTTACATAACACATGTGTCATTTGCATTGTTGAGTGGGAGATTATATTACATTGATGTTATGTTACTGATAGCTGGTGTTTATTGGGACAATAACACATGTCGCATCTCATATTATCATGTTAACTATAATACAACACTGTTGCGCGTTTTATATTATGATATATAACTATTATTAGAGTTTTATTTTATTATAATATTATATATATATATACAGCGTGTCCGTCCATAAATATCCGAGCAAATATCTCGTAACTGGCTGAAGTTAGAAGAAAGTTTAATGAGCGAAATTTACATGGCTCTTAGTCAGCATGCTTAAAATGCATGTAAACAAATTTTTTTTCACTTTGACATAGAATACAAAATATCTCGTAAAATATTCTTCTTTCGGTTATCTTGTCTTAATGCTTTTTTGCACAGAATAATGAGACAAATTAATTGGCTTAAAAAAAGCACAAAAAGATTTTTATATATTTATGTAAAAAATTTTTTGTTTTTTTTTTTAAGCTAATTAATTTGTCTCATTATTCTGCGCAAAAAAGCATTAAGACAAGATAACCGAAAGATGAATATTTTACGAGATATTTTGTATTCTATGTCAAAGTGCTGGAAATTTCAAGTGTTATTACTCGAAAAGTTCTTAACGAAAAAATATTTTATTATAGCGTTTTGGAAAGCTCTCGAGATGTGCTATAAGAATATGCAATGAAAAATGGGGTGTTCCATTTAAAAAAATTAATGTGACCTTGACCTGACCTTCGCTACGCAACCCAAGGTCAAACTGATGTGATCAGTAAATACATCTTTTTAAACGCCACAACTTTTGTCTGAAACATTTTTTTGTAAAACTTATATTTTTCCTGATATTCGGGCGTCCCGGTACTTTCCGAACACCCTGTATAATGAAATGTGGGATATTATAGATCTAATCACTAGTAACCACATAACAGTCAACATGCTAGTGAATAGTTTTATATTTTTATTTTATTTACCAAATTTTCCCAGTTGTATTCATATCTCCAATCAAAATAATTTATTGAATAATTTGTAGAAATAGCTCTAATCTCTTGGAAATTCTGTGAAATGAACGTATCGATCTGTTGAGTCAAAATGTCTGTGTTATAATTTATGGCCTTTAATAGGTCAAAAGGTGTTTGTTTCAGCTTGCTGTACTATGATGTACGTTAGTCTCGTCTTTCAGTCGCTGGTTATCGGTTTTACCTGTGAGACTTTAGCTCATGGAACTCGAAGGCGAAGAGACTCTCAGAACATCATACAAAGAAGTATTTCGAGTTTAACAGTCTCGACGCTACCCACAGGGGTCGGCAAACTAACGAGACACTTCGGCCGAAGCGAACAGGGTCGGGACAAAGGCGGACGAAGCTCACAATGGAGAGGTCTGTTCGCCAGATGCGAGAGCTTCCATTTAAGGGGACGGATTATTACGGCGTTTCCTGCTCCGACGAACGAATGTTAATTAACGTTCGAGGGATCCTCAGGAAGTCGGAGGTCCTCGCAACTTTCGTTGCAAACATCCGCGTCAGCGTCGTCGATTAGCTTGTGTAAACTGGGGGATACGAGGGAAAATATGTTAATACGAATCCGCAGCGAGCGACAAATATTTGCCGAGGTGAGGAAACGAAGGCAAATATTTGCGATGCGATCCGCGTTTGAAGTTGCGCGAATGTCTACGTACGCGTGGATGATTCAACTGGCATTTCGCGTAAGTACATTCCAAGTTCGAATGGAAGACGCATCAAGACAAGTACAATTTCCTCCGAAAGAGGACGAGGGGAGAGGGGGGGAAGAAGGAGGGAGCGTGCAGCTGATTAAAAGCGATAACTCCCAATTCAGGCTGCAGCAAATGCGAGCGCGTCTTGTAACAGCGAAGAGAGATAGAGAGAAGAGCTTCCTGTATATACATATTATTACTCTCACGCGAGCCCACACGAGATCAGTGATGTAAGAGACTGCGCGCAATGACTAAAAACGATTCGATGAATCAGGCGGATTCCATCCGGTTAATATCAGAGCTAATAGCGATCGCGACGATTTGCGCGCACGAGTCCAACATGCATCTTCAGATTGAACTGTTACGACCGCGTGAAAATTCTTCTTAACCGAAGAGAAATAATTGTACAGGCTATCTAACGCGGCAATGCGCAGATATATAAATTAGGTTAAAGCGAGCAAGAGTTCTTTGCAATTTTGCAAAGTTTTGAGTTATTAATTAAAGAAAATTCACGGTCGTATGCAATCGCTTCAATCGCTCAAATATTCTTTATTTAATAATTCAAAAATCCAGTTGTTATTTACAAAATTATAGAGGACTTCTCTTGTTCAGTTTGAACTAATATACAAACACACAATGGGAATTATAGTTATCGTCACACCCTGCGTTTAGGAAACATCCGATGAGAAATATCAGTAATTTTTTGATCGGTTTATCTGATGAAATGTTATTATGATCGAAAGTATTCGATTAAATTTAATCGGATATCCTGATCGGATATAAAAGTTCATCGGTATTTCGATCGGAAATATCCGTTTGTTAATTTTTTTATCGGATAATTTCTCTCACTGTACATGTAAAATAAAAAATTAATAAGTTACGGCAGAACGACTTATTCCTTGGTCACAAAAGATTCTATAATAATTCTTGTTATAAAATTCTCTAAAATAAGAAAAAAAGATAAGGTTTACAAAATCTCTGGAATATGTTAATGCTGTCAGATTTTTCTGTCGAAAATAAAACACGAAATAAAAAAAAAGAGAAAAAGAAAATTTCAAGATATAAAACTAAGTTTTTTATAGAGGATTTGCAGCATCAGGTCCGGTGCCGTTATTAATAAACACGGCGAAATGTTTTGAAACGTGGCGAGCTGTGTAGGATCGCAGCGGCTATGCAAAATGCCGACTCGCGCTGCTCAAAAGGCGTTCTTTCGTTGATATCAAAGCAGTAGGAGGACGATAGAGGGAGAGAAACTTTGAAGGAAGAAAGAGGCGCGCGGGGGCAGAAGAAACTGGGCCGCAACGTAGGCCGAAGGTTCTGTAGGAAGAGAGAGCGCATTCTCTCTCTCTGTTTGACTGGAAAACTATATTTAAACACGTTTGTCTAGGAGAGAGATCTCTCATAGCTCGGTACACAGGGTGCGAGTCTTTGGTTGACTTCTCCTGCCTGATAAACGAACTCGCGAGCCCGCGTGTCGTTTTGCTGTGATTTTCATTAATGTTTATTTGACCTTTCGCCGCACAGGAAAAATCGCGCTTCTTCCAAAGTCCCTCTCCCCTTTCTCGCTCTTTCTTTCTTCTTCTCTCTCGCTCTTTTCTGCGTTTCCCACAAAACTCTTCTTTGCATGATTCCTCGGTTTCTCTATTTAATTTACTCCTGTCATCATCGATATTTCGGTCACATAGATGTGCAAGGCGCGTTCTGGACTCGCGAGTCGTAACCTCGCTCGCGTTTCAAAATTGAAACGCGGTTCTCGGATGTTGCTACAGTTCGAATTAAGTGGAAGTAGCAAGTTTGAAAAGCAACTCGAGAGTCCCACTGACAATCGAAGTGATCTCCACTGTTAAAATTAATTACAATCCGAACAGTACCAAAAATGTGTCTTAGATTCGTCTTAAAAACATCTTAGAAACGTCTAAAATAACAGACAGGACGTCCTCCAGACATTTCTAAAAATTTTAGTCGTTTCTAAACATTTATTTATTTATTTTTGACATTATTGACTTGTTACAGAATATTCGAAAGCGACTTTAAGGCGATCTTAAATATAAAAACGGACTATGAAATAGCCTTAGTGTGCACGGATGCGCACTAATGCTTCCAATCGAATTCGTCATAAGTGACATTTTGACGTATATTTAGTTATCGTGATCAAATAAGAACATGATTAAAAATGAATTGGACAAATTGAATAAGGACATGATTAAATAAGAACGTTTCTCTTGACATTAGTTCGAAAATGGAAGGAAATCGCATGTTTTTCCAGTGAATAATACTTGTTTATTCCCGTAAGGATAAGAATTCAAAGTAGTTTGCCAAATTTTGTTCAGAAAAAATGGATATCGAAGATGTTCCTCGCTTTGGTCGAGCAGTTACCCACGAATGCCGATGAAATAACGACTTTAATCGATTCTGGAACATTTGAGCAAACTTGGAATGATACAGAAGCTCGATGTTTGAAGGCCGCACGATTTGACTGAAAAAGGAAATCATGGGTCGCATTTCCACCTGCGACTTATTATGTAAACCTAACGAAAACGGCACATTTTTCAAGCGAATTGTAACAGGCGACGGGAAGTAGACCATTTACAACAACGTCGAGTGGAAAAGGTCATAGGTCAAGCGAGGTGAACTGCCATTGATCACATCGAAGCCCGGTTTATATCCGGAAGAGATCACGCTCTGTATCTGATGGGATTAGGAAGGAATAGTGTACAATGAGCTATTACCGAACGACCAGTCCGTCAATTCGGACAAATACTGTTCGCAACCGGATGAATTAAAGGCAGAAATCGGCAAAAAGCGTCCGGAATTAGTCGTTCGGAAAGGCGTTGTTTTCCATCACGCCAGGCTTCACGCTTCCTTGCAGACCCAGCAAAAATTGCTGGAGTTTGGCTGGGATATTTTGCCCCACCCATCACATTTAATTCACCCTTCACATTTAACACTCTCCGATTACCACTTATTTCCGGTCGCAGTAGCACTCCCTTAATGGAGTTATGAACTTTGCTTCTTTGGAACGCCTTAGAAACTTCTTGAACCGCTTTTCCGTGGAAGAAACCCAGGACCTCTACGAGAGAGGAATTAGGAAATTGCTCGAAAGATGGAAAATTTTTGTGCAACTAAATGGTGCATATTTTACAGACTAAAATTATTTTTAATCAAAAAGTTATTTAAATTTCATTTGAAAATCCTCATGAATTTTCTTAATTACGGACAACTCAATACTTCTCATGTGTGAGAGAGACTATTATAATATTGAAAAATAAAATTACTAAAATATTGTTGAAATTCAAGACTTTAAAGTTCCTCCAACAAAATTATATTTCGTTGTTTATGTACAAAAAAACGATTGTTAATTTAAGTATATTAGTTTCAAGTGGAGACCAATTTTTTGGTCCTCCAGAGTGATTTGTTTTAAATAAGAATATTCATGGATTTCTTTTTTGTTTATTGTTATTACTTATTGCTACTCTCTCTGAATAATTTGAAAGAGGGGAATATAAAATACATCTAATTTGTATTTGCTGTGAATTAAAAAGAAGATTACAATAGTTTAAGCAAACCAAAACGGGAATTTAACATTTCACCATAAAACTTTGCCGGGCACATCACTCGGCAGGGGGCTATTGAATTGAATCCACCTTTTTACTTTATGTTCCATTTGCGACGAGGATAACAACGACGATCGATAAAATGACCCCTTCATCACGTTATCGCAAGAGAGAGAGAGAGAGAGAGAGAGAGAGAGAGAGAGAGAGCGCTCGTAAAATAAATATTGAGATAAAAATGCAAGCGTGCCGCTCAAATGGACGCCGAGCGATATCGCGAGTGGCAGCTGCGGGAACGAAGCCATTTACGCGCCACGTTCTTGCATTGCATTACGCGCAACGTTACGCGTTGAATTTCTTCTTTCTCTTTCTCAACAAAACAAATAGTCGGGGATCAGCCACCTCGTCGGGCGAGAGGAGCACACGCCTGCCGACGAGGTGGCACTCGCGCGAGTTGGATTCGTCCCGCGGCGGCAGGGGGAAACGGTCGATCGATCAGGCGGAGGGACTCACAAATATCATGAAGCACGAGGCACACAGCATGCCCACGATGAATTTGTACCAGCACATGCCCATCTTGCCGCGTCTGTTTTGCACTGTGTGAGCGAAGATCCGACGGTCAGCACTTCGAATTCGCGGCGAGTCGCCTGCGGCTTCTCGCGCGCGCGATTACGATTACGTCGCCGGGGTCGTCTCCGTGAGACACTCGGCGGAGGGACGCGCGTCTTCGCTCGCGCTTCCTCTTCGCGCGACGAACGTTCCGGCTCCGAGGAAACTACGCGGCTCACTCGCGATTTCAAGCGGCGATCGGTGATCACTGACGATCGTTAATCGCGGAACGATCGAGATTTTACGCGCGCACTATCGCGATCAGGACGGTCGGGCGGACGGGGACGCGGCGAGGCGCGCGAATTGGCAGTGTTCGGCCGACGCTACTGGAAGGCTCGCGACCGGGCGAGTGTTGGCCTCCTGAGCGAATGCCCCGACGTCGCGGCAGATGTAGAGGGGAAGTTCCCACGCGCCGTCTCTGGATATTCGTGCATCATGACCGAATGGTTATCACAGGGAACGATGACGCTTTATGCGTTGTTAGGGAACGTCGTAAGGACGTAAGACGTAAATTCAAATGAAAAGAGAAGAAGTCACATTTTTTAAATAGCTTTCCTCCGATTTTTCGTGCTGTCTGACTTGTCGTTGAGTCGAACCGCTTGAAGATTCAAATCGCGGGGATAAGCAAGAGGCCGTCTGGGCGTTCGTTGACTCGTGCTACTAAAAAATTAAAGTTAAACAAATTGGGAAATTAAATATCATTTTATTAACATTATTTGGGAATGAAAAGCTAATTTGCATTGTCGTTGGATAGTGAAAATAAAAGCATGTCCTATTTGTCGTTGAGCCGCATCACGTGTTCAGGTTCTTCTTTGATGACGGTGACGACTCGTAGCGAAGATTTTGAAACTACACTGACATAATAATTGATTGTTAATTTCTTTATTGCAGAAATATACAGAGAGTCATTGGGACCGTACTCCATGTGATCAAACTTATCGAAATGTTTTGCTTTTACTGAGAAAAATAAACAACAGCTTTAAATGCTAAGTCAAAAAATTACGTTTGAAACGCGGCTAAACTGCCTACTTGGCGCCATTTCACGGTGACATCAAGAACTTGTTACGCTTAAGGTTTGAGTTTCAGCTAAACGAGACTCGAATCTCGCCTAAATTATCTACTACGTTTCTAGATCTACGGTTTTAAACCCGTAATTTTTTGTTAGTTCAAAAATCTCCACTACGAAGCGCTATCACCTTCCATAAAGAATTCCTCAAATTTAAAGGCACCGTCCGCCATTTGTAGAGAGGGAGTGAAAGGGCTATCGCAACAAATTGACATAACTGCATATGCACAGCATAAGATCGTATGGACCAATGAGCATCGAATATTAAGCATCAAACACCAATATGGCGACTTAATACTCGATGCTCATTGGTATATACGGTCTTATGCTATGCATATGCAGTTATGTCAATTTGTGTGCGATAGCCCAAAGAACTGCAACCACAGACTTCTATATACATAGACATATATACTACACTGCGCGGTCTGTGCAGAGGAATGAGGATACAATTCGGGTGCCATTACATGAACCGCGGAAATACGGAAACGCGGAAATGCGGAAGACAAAACCTTGGGTGCTTTCCAGCTATGCACACTGTGTTACACAAAACCAGTTTATTGGTGGCATATTATCTTACAAGATATTTTAGATAATATATGACCAATAAACTGGTTTTGTGTAACACAGTGTAACGTAGCTGGAAAACACCCCTTATTAGATCCGCTACGCGTTCCGCGTCTGTTTGGATTGCCTTAGTCCCGATCTACAATAGGTGTAGTAAGCTTTAAGCCTTAAGAAATTGACTAATCACAGTCAAATTATAGAGGAATAATCAATTGTGATTGGTTAATTTTTTACGGCTTAAAGCTTACTACATCTATCGTAGATCGGGACTTATATTACATGAGGCATATTTTAAGCGGAAAAGTGGTATGAGAAATTAAAAAATATTAATTTTTAACTGTATTTATTAATTAAAATGTTTGTATTTAACAGATAAGCTGAAAAGATAAACATATTAATAAAAATTGCAATAAATTAAGTGAATACAATTTTAAGAAATGAATACAGATGTTTATTTGTCACTAAACCCTTCCACTTTTCCGCGTAAATTATGCTCCATGTAATGTAAGGAGAAATAAAGTCGCGGAACAAGCGCATCAAAATCTATTGTTATAAGTTCCGGTCTAACCACCGTTACATTAAGACATGTTCGAACACGTTGGGACCTGATTTTTTTTTTTTGGAATTCATCTCTCGGTACCTTGGATGAAAAGATAATAGAGAAAAGTTTTGGGCCTTCCGTTTTTCCGCTTTTCAAACGTGCAGGAAGAAATGATTTAATTCGCAGAACGCGAAATCTAGTAAGATTTTGTCTTTCGCATTTCCACGTTTCCGCGCTTCATGTAATGGCACCCTTAAAGCTTCTCTCTCACTTCTAACAAATTTTCTTTCTCACTCTTACTTACGTCATTCCTAAAAACGGCGGACAGGATGTGGACCAATAAAGAGATCTGTTCGTGTTTCTTCACACTTTTCGCATTTTTCGTGTTTAGAACAAAACGGATGCCTATTCGGACACTGAATGAAGCAAGAGCGAGGAGGAAAGTGCGAGCAACAGGAATAAATCAAAGGATCATCACGTTTTGTTCTAACTCTGACTAGACGAGTTCTACTCTAAAGGGATGCGTTCCAAAACTCTACTCGACGGATAGAATATCATTTAATTGACCAATAACAACAAAGATAACTAGAATTTCTTTATCATGATTGGTCAATTAAATGTACTCTATTCACTAAGTAGAATTTTGGAACGCAGCCAAGAATAGAGGTCGTAGTACGAATCAACGACGGATCAGACATAACATTTTTAAGCAGTACGACTCAGTGGCCTGAAATTACGCAAGATACACTTCTTCGTTATTCTTAAACGTTTTCAACGTTATCAAGCGAGGATTGAAAGTCAAATATACAAGAATACAGAAGAAGAGTCAGGTTTCCTCGATTAGAGAAGTAGAAAGTGCGGCACTTCGGAGTCAAGGGAAACAGACCGACGACAGCAAGCGATAACTTGCTCGTCTTGCCCGCTCGTGTAGTCTATGGCCGCTTGAATTTTCGTGGTTCCCGGAAGAAATGTGTCGCACAGGGATTTCGACCGTTTCGTCACAGCGCGATCTCATTGTTAACATGTGACCGCCCGCCGCTCCTCACGCGCTGGAGAAGATCGCACGGGATCGCGAGGTAACACGCGGCCCCGCGTTTATCCTTTTCGCACGGCCCGCGCCGCGGCCGGCTCCAATTGAATTCGCGCGATCGGCCTCTCTCTCTCTCCCCATGTAACCCACCGCTATAACCACGTGCTTGAAATCCTGTCCTGTCCGGCCGTTGCGGAGCTGAATTCGCATACCCGTCGTTCGCCGACGTGACTCGTCGCGTTCGCAATTCCCGCGGCTCGCCGATCGAGGAGGCCGTTTCCGACGTTCTGCGCGCGAATCCTTTGCCGTTTCTAGCGCGGCCGTTCTTCCACGCGGCGTGACAAAGCGCTGAAAGTTCCTGCGTCGGAATAAAGGCATGCCGGGATGACGGAGTTCGTGGACGGCTGGGTCTTGGGCCATACTCTCGGCGAAGGATCTTATGGCGAGTACGTATCCCAAGCTTGCTTTCCTTTGTTAATCTTAGCGAGGATAATCTCGTTATTTGCAAGCTGTTTCGGCCGAATCGCCGCTGCTGCCGAGATTTGCCATTGTTCTCGCCACGCACGCTTCAATGTGCTTGATCGTCGTCGGTAGGAAATTCAATTACGCGGGTTAATTAAATTAATTAGAGACTTGCCTGTGCACAAATTAATACAATTTCTACCACCTATGATTTATCTTTGCGTATTGCGGGAAAATATATTAGAGAAAATGTAGAATTTTCCTAAAAAATATAATGAATTGTAAGAGATGAAAAATTAATTATTAATTAATGGCGATTATAATTGAGCTTAAAAATATCTGTAGGGTCAAGCTGGTCATAAACAGATCAACCAGTGAGGCAGTTGCCATGAAAATGATCGACATAGAGAAGCATCCAGATGCCAGGCATTCGGTGCGCAAGGAGACCACTATCCATCGTATGCTGTCAAATCCTAATATTATACAATATTTTGGGAAGCGCAGTGAAGCGAACATGGAATATATATTTTTGGAGTATGCTTTAGGTGGAGAACTATTTGACAGAATTGGTAAGATCAAACAACAAAAATTGCTGACTAAGAGACCAAGACTAATATTAATAGTTGCCACCTGAAACTTGTCTCATATGAGATACTCAGACTTTTACTCAGAGTTAGATCCAAGTTTTCTAGTTGAATTGTGATATATGTTACATTTATATCTGTAATCACAATTTAACTAAAAGACTCATCTAATTAATTTAAATCTGATTATCTTATTTGAGATGAGTCTCAAGTGATAATAAGCTGTTTATATAAGCTTATGACATATGTCAATAGTTATTAGGAGGTTCAAGCAAGATGCTCAGATTTAAATTTAGGCTTGTATTAATAGTTGTTACTTGAAACTTGGCTCAAGTGATTTCAATTAAGAGTTAGTTTTGAATTTTTAGTTGAATCATATCTATGATTAGACTCTACTGAAAAATTCACAGTTAACACTGAACTCAAATCCTTTTCATTTAAGAAGAGTTTCAAGTAACGATACAGATCTTAAAATTAGATGTGAGTTCTTTAGTTGAATCATGATTACAAATGTAATGTCGCATATGAGGTCTGTCTGGAAAGTATCCAACCTATGTCAGTATATCTGTACCTGGTTTGTAGAAAACGAATATTCTCCATTTAGGGGAAACCTTTGTAAGTGTTTCTGTCAGCTCAGTCCTGCAGCTATTCAGTCGACAATAATATGCAGTTGTGTAAATGTAAACCGTGAGCGTCGCATTTCTACTTTATTTGCAACAACTGAGCTATGTAGTCGAAATAATCGTGCGAGTGTTTGTTAGGAGAGAATAAAAATAAAGTGAAAATAAGAATGAAACGTGCTTCTTACAGAACCCGACGTCGGAATGCCAAGGTACCAAGCGCAAAAATATTTCAGACAGTTAATTTCTGGAGTAGAGTATCTACACGGTCGAGGGATTGCACACAGAGATCTCAAGCCGGAGAACTTGCTTCTAGATGATAATGATAATTTAAAGATAAGCGACTTTGGATTAGCTACGATATACCGTCTGCACGGTAAAGAACGTCCTCTGGAAAAGAAATGCGGCACATTACCTTATGTTGCACCAGAAGTACTAGAAAGATCATATTTGGCGGAACCGGCGGACATATGGTCTTGTGGAATTATCCTAGTGGCTTTATTGTCTGGAGGTAAATTTCGCTCAAAACTGAAATATATATAGAAAGAGGCAGGTTTGTAATATTGACGTTTTTTTTTCTTATATATCTTGTTAAAGAGAAGTAGCTACACATACATTATTTATCTATACAGAAGTTGTCTGATGATTATTTACACTACTCACCCATAGTGTGTAGGTAGAATTCATCAAACTGAACACAAAATTCTTGTTCGCAAATAACCACATGAAATGTTGAGTTATTAATTAAAGAAAATATTGGTGAATAATCATGCATGATACAATAAATGAGCTGTGATGGCGACGTCTGCTGCCGCTACTGATACATTAAGTCAAACTAAATAAAAAATCTTTACCATTTTGCAAATAACCATGTAGATTCTATTATTAATTTAAAAAATTGCTAATTATGCGATAAATAAAATGAAAAATTGTAATATAAGAAAAAATAAAATAGTAAATTATAAAGAAATGTTGGACAATTAATACAATACACGGATGTATCAGTTAATTTTAGCTTATTTTAGCTAAGTTTGAGTTCACAATGCTAACTTCTCTCGACAAATATGCTAGTAAACTTGTATCGTACAATTGAATGAAATATGTCTCGTTTGCATTCTCCAGTTTTTAACTGGTTCCTGTCTGAAATCTAGAACTGCCTTGGGACGAAGCCTTGGCAGATTGTCCCGAATACGTCGCGTGGAAAAACGGCAAATACATGTCGTTGACACCGTGGAAGAAACTGGACAATGCGTCATTGTCGTTGATCAGAAAGATCCTCGCGGACACGCCATCGGCACGATACAAGATCGCGGACATCAAGCAACACAGGTGGTTTGTCACAAGTTTCAGCAGAGGTAAAAGATAGCAACAGTAACTTTAGTAATCCTACCGATGCCTTGCGCATTTAGCGAAGAAACGCATAGACGTTCGTTTGTGTTAATTGATACCCATGAAAGAAAGATTTTAGCACGCTCGCCAACGGAGACGCCAGCATAGTGTTTACTTAGTCAGGTACTGAGTGACTCTGAGTATCAATGAAATTACTCAAAGCAACTCGGTACCTAATTTAGTGGATACTGCTCACGACGGCCCGTTCTTGTCGCTTCTTTTTCTGCGTAAGTGCTTTTGCGCCGATTAGCCGCGGGGGAGAGCACCGTGTGACGCCGCGCTTCCACCTACTCGGTGAGGCTCTTGCCTCTTCTTTGGTAATACAGCTCTATGAGTTTAATCGAGCGTCATAAAGCTAGATTACCAAAGCAGAGTGCATTGGCATATACTTCTACAAGTGTGTGCGTGTGTGTAATATATGTAAATAGTTAAGTCTCATAGAATGTTAAAGTTAATATAATAGTTAATTGTAAACTAACTGTAGTGCCAATAATTGTCCATTTTTAAATCCGATCGATTGATACTTTGCCGCATCTTCTAGATGAGAGATGCTGATGCGAATATTTGTAATTTACAGGAGATGAGCCAGACGGACGAAATCCGGCACACGCGGAAGATGAAAATCTGAGGAACGTTTGCCTGTCGCAACCTGAATTGCCAGGTATGGAAAGTAACGGTGTCATTCAAATTAATTTAGACGGACGACCGTTCTCGTTTTCTCAGCCTGCACATGTGGAGGATCTTTTATTATGTACACAATTACAAGCTATGCAGCAAACACAGCCAAGTCAGGTAGTGTCTTTTGTGGAATACTTATTGGACCGATATAATGTTTTGCTAAGTCGATCACTTTTCATATGTATTGATTTGTTAAATTTCACTTATCTTGTAGCAAAACTCTCTCCAGAAATTGGTCCGCCGAATGACCAGATTCTTCGTTAAAACGGGATGCGAGGATGTTATTAAGAGGTTAATCAGAATTTGCGAGAAGGAGAACTATTCTTATCGCGCTAATGATTATGGAACGGTACGATGTAACATCAGAATTTGTTCTTTTTAACTAAAGTACTTCTTTTAACTAAAGTACTTTTGCAGTTTTTCTTTGCTTTTGACGCTAAAAATATTCTCGGATATGTAACTAATCCTGGACAATATTTAAATTTTCAACATATATATATGTATTTTATGTTAAACGTTTAAAAAATTCGTATTTGAAGATCAGAACAATAAGAATATCCAAGCATTGATATTTCTTATCTTACATACTTGTTTCATCTGGACGACAAAAGCATAGTCTAGCTTAACTAAAAAGAACAAATCTATTGTCTTTGTTGTGATGAACTCGTTTTATCAATACGTAACATATGATGATATTCGCAGGTCACGTTATCTACGATAGATCGACGGAAAATGACGCTTGTTTTTAAAGTGAACTTTATAGACATGGACGGAAATATACTGGTCGATTTCCGCTTGTCAAAAGGCTGCGGTTTAGAATTCAAGAAGGCGTTCATCAAGATCAGATGCGCCCTGGAGGATGTAATTCTCAGGAACTCCGTTGCGTATCCGAAATTGCAATAGCTGTGAGAAAACTTTAACACGCCATGGGATTCACCGGTAACCAACACTGATTTTGCCACGTTTCATTGTTTTAAAGCGTAATTGATTGCGCTCAACTAATTAAATACGCGATTAATGGGTCGAATAAAGCTGATAAAACTATTTAACGAATATACGTATCGGGCAATTGATGTATTCGTCGTAACTTTTTGGTTATCGAACCTTCAATTAAATTTTTAAACGATACGTGGAAATCAGTGTGGCGGTTACATGTCAATAGGTATCACGTGACAATATATACATTTTATATTATTTTTTTAATAAAATTTGTATTTTCCTAAAAGCTTGTTTATGTGTCGCTAGTTTAAAATATTCTCGGATATGTACCTAATCCTGGACATTCTTGTCGTTTTATTTTTTAATACGAATATTGTATATCTGTTTGAAAATCTGCCGTAATAGGAAATTTGAGCGTGACTAGCTCCGTTGAAGGCACGTGCGAGTTGATTTGAACAGGATCGTTGCTTTCCATTCTAGACATGTTTGGTAAACTTCTATCACTCGCACACGAGATTGGCCACGAGAAAGCAACTTTTTTTATGGGTCCTCTATGTTTTATCAAATCCCATATAGTATCTAATCACAGTACTTCTATTGCAACAGGTTAGGTTAGGATAAAGAGAAATAGACAGAGAGATTGAAAATATATCCTTCTCTCTCGCAGGATTTTGATAAAACCGCAGTCGTGGCCAAACTGTTTAGAGTAACTCTAGTATAAAATAATGCCTCTAGAAGATAGTTTAGTCCCTTTCCTCTCAAAATGGCGTTTTGTATGTGGGAGGAATGATCTCTCTCTCTCTCTCTCTCATAGACACGCATACACATATCTTCACATATATAATTTATCTTCAGAGCTAAGATCTGTTTTTTTAGCTGAACAAGGTTGTACTTTTGAAAAGAATGAAAAGAAACAAATGTTTTCCAACAAAGACACGTTACATTACATAGAGCATTATATTACATAAAGCATTATACAAACACTTATACAAGCATTATATAAACATTATTAATTATATATCACTCAATATCATTGCTTAACATTTAAGATAATATCAATATAAATTAACACATTAAAACATAAATTTTATACATGTACTAATGCTACTTTTTGGTATAAACATGAAAACCGGTAATTTCTAACCTCACAAATTCGTGCATACAAATGCATTGCCGTGACCATAGGAGCAAGAATCATACCAGCCAATCACAAAATAGCTGGTCATATGATCGTTCTGGAGTTCCTTTTTCTTATTCGAAGTTTTCTGCTTTTTTCTTATCTTTAAAGTTTAATTTATAATGTGCTTTTTGCTCCCTGTCTTTTTCTCTTTGTCTCTTTCTGATACAAACCTTTGGTCTTAAGCAAGAAAAAGACCGGAGAACAAAAAACAGGAAGCATATTGTAGATGGAAGCAAAGAGCACATTGTAGATTAAGCTTAAGTAATAAGAGAAGCGCAACCTGATATTTGCTTGCTGATTGGTTGCTTGCGGCACCAATTGAAATCGAAAGTGTTGGTCTCGCAAACTAATCTTTTATGATAACTAACCACAGCGGCGTATTATGAACGAGAAAAAAATATCTGTGATATTGTTTTATCAAAGACACACGTTTTTAAGACATATCTGAGATGTCTTTGGTATATCTCAGATATACTAATGTTGTCTGGATTCATATCGTATCATAATCTATAAGTACACGCACCGGCGTTAATGCCGTCCGAATATCCGTGTGACTCGCACACGATAACGCGTCACTCATACACTGCTGCGTGTAGGTGAGCTAAGAGCAGCACGGAGTGGCGGAGGGAGCTAGCGGTATACGATCGTCGGACGCTTGGAGAGGGAATAGTGGTGGGAGTCGCGGCGATCTTCCATCCTCTATCGCAAACGTAAGAACGAGAGAAATAGCATTATAAGACGTCTGGACAGAAATGCCGTCCTAAAATACGTGTGAAACACACGAAGAAAACGCTTGACTCACACTGTCTCGTCTAT